GGCCAGGAGCCCCTAATAGCGTCCTTGCTCCTAGTAGCGATGCCCTTGGTTACTAGTAGCTATTTGCTACTACTGATCTCTGTTTGGGACATGGTCTCATTACGTCTCATTCGTCAGAGATGCAGCTCCGGATCTCTGTTGCCTGTGAACAGGAAGTCCTGAAGTGTTGCGGGCGCAAGCCAAATCAATGTGAAAGCAGCTGGCATGCACATGAGCGAGTTTCAAGTTCTTGAGTCTTCTCAAGCTACAGCCCTCCCCATCCATGGCCCCACACAAACGTTGTTTCAACACGGCCCTGTCACATGGCGAATTCACCAACACGGGTCCCTAGCCCGAGTGCGCTTGAATTGAATGTGGAGAACAAAAAGGCTCCACGTTTCAAGCGCCAGTGAAAACATCCATCCTGCAGTAATTAATGTTGGTGATGGGACGAAAGCTCATAATGCCTAGGCATGTGATTGAACACCGCAGCATTTGTGGCTGCAAAGCCCTGAAGAGTCCCAAGGGGACGAAAGCTAGGCATAAAATGTACTAAATATCTATGAAGTTTGCAGCTGCGTGAAAACTCACTGAATACACGTTCCCGTGGAGGATCCCGGAAGTCCTCCTTGCTAGCTGCCACTGACTTCTGCATAGCAACCTTGATTTCCAAAGCTATGCGTGAAGTCAAAAGGATTAAGGGCACTTGATGTGATGTACGGTGGGGTGGCCTTTCTGAGTGGTGCTCCATACGCACCTTCTGAATATCAGGCATTTGTCTGCCCATTCCCTCACAAAATTCCAATGAAGCTGCTCGTGCTGAGCTGCCATGCGACGAAAACTCCCTCGTCCTGCCAAGCCACCCTATCCGCCAAGGAGGTCCTTGCTGGTCCACTGCTGCGACCTTGGGGTCTCAACTCCGCACCGCTCAGAGTCCCTTCCCAAATCTCAGCGACGCACGAGCAGAGGCGGCTGATGTCCGCGCAGTTGACACACTCCGAGCACGCACCTCGCATGAAACCAGCGCCCTGCGAGGCACATGACCCGTCTTTGGAGATGCCAACGAATGCAACAGAATCAGCTCTGGCGATCCAAGCCCCAAAAGATTAGCTGAATGGCGTGGCGCTAAATGATGCTAAATATGCTAATGGATGCTCATGGTATCTAATGGTCCTTCTTAGGCCTTTGATTCTTTCGCTGCCTCTTTCTGCTTTCACACCTTCTCCAAGGGCCCGGCCCGATGCTTCACCTCTTTGACCTCCTCTTCTTTGGCTGCTCCAGCGGCCTCGGCCAACATGGGTGGCTAATCCAAATGGTCTGAGGATGAGCAGTTGACTCTGTAGACAGGAGGCATATGCCTTTAAGAATCTCCGAGGTTGAGCCAAGATTTCCTTAGATCGTCCATGATCATTCAAGCAATCTGCTTGCATTCGCAAGCGTGCACTAGACATGATGGTGACACTGTTGTTCCATGTGACGTACCAGCACATGCCTCACCCTGGTCAGCGCTGATCGATGATTATATTCACTCCCATTCACGGGAGGCGACCCGGTGGGAAGCAACGTGTGGCTCAACTTGTCATCCAGAACTTGTCATCCAGCGTCGGCAGATGCACTGGCCACATCTTTCTTGAACGCATGCAGTGTCTTGAAGAGTTGCCTCGACTGCTGCAACGCGGGTTCCCTTCGTGTTTGCCATCAGTCAGTCTTCAGATTGTCACATGTCGAAATCCCAAAGCGATTGGTTTTTACTTAAAGCCATCTTCCCATGGCACAGCAGTGCAATCAATAATCCTTGGAATATCCTTTGAATGTCCTTGATACTAGGAACAAAAACGCTACTAGGGGCTCCTGGCCTTACTACTAGGAGCAATGTTCGCTACTAGGGGCTCCTGGCATCGCTACTAGGAACAAGAAGGCTACTAGGAGTCACTAGTAGCAAAGGATTGCACGGCCTCATGGAGGACCCAGAGAACCACGTTGTTCGTTTTGCACTGAAACCGATTGTCATCTCCAAGATTCTCCGCAGCTGCCTCCACCGATGGCGTCTCAGCCTCTGCAAAGAAGCCCAGCGTCTCAGACAGCCGTGGTCGCAAGCAGCGGTAGGACTGCCGAAGGCGGTGTGGCTTTTCGAGCTCTAGCAGGTGGAAGGAAGTCGACCTCTACTTGAAGGGGGTATACCCTTTTCAAAGATCAACTTCCAAGCTTGACAATCTTCAATGATTCCACTGATCATAGGTTCGATAGGTTGATATAGCTGCTCCTCTTACCCCATACATTGTTCCAACCTGCAGCACGCATGAAAGCTGCTTGGGGATACAACGGGTGCTACCAGTGCCCTCCAATAGCCCCGCCCGTGCCTCGTTCAAGTGCTGTTGCATTGGGAGAAGTTGCTCCTGAAAAGACAGCTCCCTGTTGCTGAGAAATTCAAAAACAGTCTCTCACATCCACTGCAAAAAAGAGGACGTTGGAGTGACCATCTGCTGGACTTGCCGAACCTTGCCCTGTTTGTTTTTTGCATTTTGCTGCGACTCTCACTCCGCTTTGGTAAGAGAATCCTGGTGTACAGCCTTCAGCCTCGCCCGCACTGCCAACGGGTATTCCCCTTGCTCGCACTCCCGCAGGAGCCACGCCTAGACCGGCCAATGATGGCTCAAACTCTCTGATTTCATGTTGCAAACACATACAGTACAAGCACGAACATACCCAGGTGTGCCTGCTTGAAGTCATTCCCAAATAGCTGACTTTCAGGATTCTGCCGGATCTTTCTGTAGATGGAGTGCTTTTTGTGATGAGACAGAACCTTTTGTCTGACGAATCAATCTCACAGAGTCGACGACAGAGGGGCTTTGACACCGACAAAGGGGTCAGTCAGTTGGCCTCTTCCGTTGCGAAGTTCTTGATGGCTTGCTCCAGGTCCGCCAAGTCTTCTCGGACCACTTGATCCAAGCATTCCAACTCCAGCGACAAACTGCTACAAAGGCGCTGAACCACAGGCACCTCCGTGAGATGAGGTGCAAAAACACAACATACCACTACCAGCCGCGTGGCAAAAGAATCACGCCCCTTGGAATAGAACAGATGATAATAGATGATGTGCAAAACTCCAATGGTGAACCAAATACCTGTTCAGTTGATGTTCATCCCCTGTAGAGTTCCTTTTTAACTTTTCAGCTGCAGCGGGCTCAACGGCACGCGAGACGCCACAGCGGATCCAAAAACCCCAAGCCATCCCAAACCCCATGGGCAGGGGCTTGGGAAGTCTGATGCGCTTTGTCTTGCAAACCAGTAGTAAGGTTAAAAAGGTGGATGTTCGGAAGATTTCGGAAGTGTGTTTGATTCTTTGATTCGGGGCGAACAGAAGCGGTTCCCCAAAGGCAATGTGCTCACTTTACTGCTTGGTGTCCTCATGGTCAACTTCTAAGATCCAGCCTCAGCGCCAGCTGCAGCCAGAATTGCGATATGCAGCAAGGACACTGCCTTGTCCTCCCGCACAGCACGGAATAGCCGAAGCTTGCCAAGGGCGGAGGAGATGGCAAAGCCCTTCCTTGGCGGCTGGGCTGCACATGCGAAGGAGATGAAAAAGTGCAGCGGTTCAAACGCGGGCGGAGTGTTCAAAGTGCGGAGAAATATAAACATCCAAGTCAAGGAGCTCCATCTCAGGATCTGCAGAGTTGATCCAGCTGCCGAGCTTGGCAACCTGCGGCTCAATCGTCGGCTGTTTGAGCAAAAACTCATGAAAATTGATCTTCCGCAAACATGAGCTTGGGGTGCGACCAACCAATCGACGACAAAGTGATTTGTCAAAAGGCGATCTTCACCCCATCCAACCCCATTGGCCGAATACCCCACCGTACGCAGAAAGCGCCGCAGTGCCAGGGAATCTCGCAGTGCTTCACAAACTCCATGGAGGCACTCCATCCGTCCCTGTGTCAGGGCCGCCAGCAGGCTGGGCTTTGGAAATGAACAGACTCACAATTCGGGTTTTGAGTTCCTTTGGGACACCTGGCAGGTTGGTAAGTTGAAACCTTGCGATACAGAATGAACCTGCCACGGCCGAAAATATCCGAAAATCATGCCCTATCTCATGTCAAAACCCCATCTCCATCCATCTCCGTATTACCCCTTGCTAGACACCTGCAGGGCATCGTGAAGAACTTCCGCTTGTGCTGCCAAGCGCAATGCACGTATTCGCTGGGTGCAGCGTGTCAGCTGCGCCAGTGGGAGAACAAGCCTCAACTAAATGTTTGGCCTACCAACCAACAGTTGAACAGTTCAAATCCAGTTCTGCTGAAATCTAGTTTAACTGCATTTTGTTGGATTTCACCCAGTGCAAGCTGCCGCTCTACTTGGCGCAGCTGTTCCGGTGGGTTCTCCTGCAGCTGCTTGGCCTCTTCTGCAGTGGGGATGGCCTAGGCCAATTCTATGAATACTAGGAGGGCATGGGGGGCACAGGCGGGAGGAGTGCGTTTGGTCTTATCCGCAACGACCACTCTTATGACTCTTGCGGCATCTCCGTGACTCTTAGGCCCACACTGTTGGCAACAACGCGATCTTCTCTGCATCCCGGAGAGGCAATGAACTTGGCCCAGCTCTGGCAGGGTCGACTGCGTGGATGCCTGCAGCTAGGAACTCCATGTCCTTAGATCTGGGTGCGAAAACCTGCACCCACACTCCCCTTAGTTTCTAGTTCACCTCACATTCCCTGATGTGATCTTGTGCATCTTGCTGTATTTTGATGTGCTTTTCCCCCTTCAACAGAAAAACACGCCATGGATGGGGCTAGCTCCACTAATGGAACCTGGTCTGCGTTCTCATGCGCTCAAACCCAGTCTCTCGTTGGCTTGGAGCCTGCCACAAGGTCTAATTATATTTGTTAAACCACGGGCATATCGCAAGGAGTCTCTTTTGGGGGGGCGGTATGTGAGCTTAGAACGCATAGAGATATATCGTATATAGTTATTAAGTGGTTGGAAGGTGCGCTAATCGGATGAATTTTCCAAGCCAAGTCCATCTCATCTTTGCTCATGTTTATATCAATTCAATTTGCGTTCCTGTGGTTGGGCAAGGGTTTGCCAACATGAAGACACAAAACACTTGCATTATCTTGCATTGAAATAGGCAACGCCAGGAATCCTGGCCCAGGATGGTAGGAAGGGGCCAAGCAAAATTCATCGTGGGGTTGATTGAGTGTCCTCAACCAACAACGGCTTTTATGATTAATTTTGGGATGCAGGCTACCCCAAATCAATTAGAGTGCAGCTCTTAATCGTGCACCGTGCACCCGGTATCATACAGTGTGCCCGATATATCCACAAAATGAGGGCGGTGGCGGCAGCCAAAACGAATGAAACCACACCCTTGTCTCATCTTGTCTCAAAGGTTCTTGGATGGAAGGCATCTGACCGAAAATGCCACGCAAATTAATGGCGATATTCTGCATGCGTGTATTGTCAAAGACCTTGATGAACTCCTGCGACTTCTGCGGTACAGGAATGCCCTGCTTGGACAGCTCATCGTCATCTGCAAAGTAGTTCTTGAGCCCATCAAACTGAAGGTCAATGGTCTCCATTCCAGGAGACTCGGCCTTGTCAAAGACTGTCCCTTTTACTTTTTCAGCATGGAGTTCCTTCCAGTGAAATCTCCGACCCAAAGGAGTGACCTTCCGAATCCGTCCTCCCCCTTTCATTGGCGCTCCTTTCTTCCCCCCTTTGGCATCAGCATCTGCATCTGCAGCCGTTCCACCTTTCGCCACTGCAGGCGGCCCTTTCTTGCCTCCCTTGCCGCCCTTGGTCATAGCTTTTCCCTTCCCTTTCTCTGCACGCACTGGGCTGCTTCCAGTTCCAGCCTCCAATGCCTCTCCACCACTCTCCGGACCTCCAGTGTCACCAGTCTGAGTCTCGACCGGCCCTGGCCTCCTCCGAGGCGTTTGAGGTTTGGCACCTTGGGACGTCTGGCACCCAGCGCCAGACACCGGAGTGCCGGACTCCTCGTTGCGAAGAAGCTTCGGAATTGCAAGGCCAGCAGGTCCGGACTGCTGCTGTGCACTCCAAAGTGCGTCGGGCGACGTGGCTGCATCTGCTTTGGCGCTGGATGTGGGCAAGGGCGGCCTCGGTGGTTTTGCTTCAATTAAGCCCAGCTCGACAAGTTTAGCTTCTAGCTCAACTTGCAGTTTTTTGGGGTTGCGCATTTCCAGCAAGGTCTGCGAACTTGGAAGGTCTTCGGGTTGAACCCACAAGGCACATGACAGGCGTGCCTGCCGGATTTTGAGATCACGTAGCTCAGCCTCAAGGGTTCGTCTCCTCTCTTGATCGTTGCCCATGTCTGCAATGTGCAACTCATTCCGCCTATGCTCAATGATTTGCTTCAGCATTGAGAGGTTCCTTTCCATTGACTCAGCCCATTGACGCTTTTGATATTCCCGCTTCATGTCCTGTTTGTCATCTTCCTCCATCTGAGTGTAGTGACGCCTGGCGTGCGATGGTCCTGTTGAGAAAGATCGTGAGACACTCCGGGCAACAGCAGTGACCCCTGACCAAATGCCATCATGTACTGCTCGAGCACCCTCCACGATTGGTGTGAAGGCAGTTGAAAAGGCAGCAGCACCATCCTCACAATGCAGGACGACTGCCGAGAGGTACGACCTATTGAAGGTGCCATATGTTGGTATCCTTTTCAGTGTCGTTTGTTTGCTTAGTAAGAACGACTGGAAAGTACCCGTATCTTCGATCTCCTGAACAGCTGCCTCTGCACTCTCCACCAAGCGCTGGGCACCCTCTTCCAGAGATCGTGGAGTGTTGACCATGGGAGTAGACCAAAGGCGGCCAAAGGTTCAAGTATAAGAATATCAACAGTATAGGGCGACACTGTCAAGCCATTCAGTGACAGGGTCATGGAAAGCTCAGTGAATAACAAAATAAACAATACAAAACTTAGATTCAGAATGATGCATTCAGATATGACATGAAACTTTACCGGGGGGCTGAGCTAAGTGCAAAGCGATTGCTGCCACTTTGTTTGCTGGAAGGCATTATGGGGCTAGGCATCTCTTGCGCGTGTCTACTTTATCTATGCCCACTATCACTATGCCCATGGTGCTTGTAAAATATGCTTGAGCCAAGGTTGGGTGAGGGCAGGAATGGCACGAAACAAAACGCCAAGCGACCATCGCGTGGGAAGCTTCAGTGCTGGCAGAATGCAAACCAGGCAGCCAAAGGCATCACTGCATCACCATGTGATTTCTCGCTGGTGCTTCAATCTCCTCTGTTTCACCGTTCTTTCCCAAGGCACCCACCTTCAAAACAGCATGGAGATGCATTTCTCGCAGTTCGCTAGCTACCTGGCGCACTCTATTCAACTGCAGATGTTTCGGCTGCCAAAGTCTGAGAGAAGAACTAACCTGCCAAAACATCCAAAAACTTGAGAAGCGGGAACGAAAGCGAGAATACTTTGCGAGTGCTGTAAGAGAATGACCATCAATGCAGGCAGTGGTGCACTCTGGGATGCTTCAGCGCTAGTGTCACCAATAAGACTTGCCGGAAATGCTCGAACACTAATCCAGAACAACCTTTGCTTCACTAAGCGGGTGCCAATTGCAGTGATAAACCAATTCGATCATTTGCATCTATCAAGTCTAACTCTCCCGCTGTAAAGGAGAACTTCAGCAGACCTTCTTCCGAGCTCACTTTCGTGATAGAGGACCCAGGCCGGGCAAACTTTAAAGATCAAAACCTCTATTGACTCTACGAATTCTATTCTATATCTCAAGAAAATGATCGACACCCTACGGGAGCAATGGAGGAGTCCGCACCCTTACCAGCTTCGGGGTGTCTTGGCTCAGACAATTGAAGTCTCAAAGGACAGCCTCCCAACCGTCCGAAAAAAGCATTCCGTCCGAGACTTTTTTGAGGTGCAAAGCCGCGAAGCCCAAAGCGCAAGTTTAAAGCGCACTGAGAGGCTTGACACTGCTGGGATCTCAAGGGATCCAAAGGGTACAAGGGGGAAAGCCTCTTGAAGCATCAAGATCACTAAACTTCATGCAAGATCACTTCAAATGCTTTGATGCCTCCTTGTATGAGAGACTGGCAAGGCCATCACCGTGTTCTGACAGGAACTGTCGGACCCACTTGGGGTCATAGTGGGCATGGTGTCGCAATGCCCAGCCAATGGCCTTCTTAACAAAGAAGTCCTCGTGATCCTTGTTCTGCAAAACGTACCGTGTCCTTATGCGGTCTCATGCGATGATCAATGCTGGGCAATCAATAATCAAAATAAATCAAAATAACATAAAATAACACTACTGCGATAGCCTCCAACCTAATAGCAATGGCCTCCGACCTACTGGCTGCGAGAATCTGCTACTAATACCTTGGCCAGAAAGGCTTCAAGGTATTGCTCGCGATGCGTCAATTCATTGACAATCCAAAAAAAAACTAAACGGTCCCAGTGTCAGTCTTGTCAAGTCGGCCTTGTCCTTAAGTTTCAGCTGGCTAAGAATAGCCGTACGTCGAAGCCAAAGGTTCTCAGATACTGCCCAACGATCCATCACCTGCAGAACTTCCTTGCAAGGCTTCCCTTGCCCACAAGTCAAGATGTAGTTGGACATGGCCGAAGCGGCAAAAATGTCCACAGTGTCCCACCAGCTCTTGGTGGTCACACCGAACTTCACAACATCCAGGAACCTTGGTGTTACTGGGCCGGAACGCATGAGTTCAGCACAAAACTCAGCACCCACATAGTGCATTTCTCGCTCTTTGCAAGCATAGAGTGCACGCAGCACAGCTTTGGCCAAATCCTCCTGGACTGTCTGGATGCCATGAGCCTTCCGCCACTGTTGGAGAACAGTTCGGGCAGAATTTCTTCGTTGAGGTGCCTTCAAGCCATAGAAAGGAAACATCTCTCGCACATATTTGGCCATCTCAACCGCACGCCGGGGCTTGCGTTCACTCTCAAACTTTCGCACGAGTTGTTGTTTCAAGTCCAGCGCAATGACTGACCAAGCCTGCGGCGCTGCCTTCAGCTTGACTTGAGATGCTGGACGCTTCATGGCGACGGGCTGACTTCAGAACTATCCAGACTGAGCATACAATCACGGCAGGTAGAACAATATGCTACCATTGCTTGTTGATGCTTGTCATTTGACTCATGCAGAAGGCACTTTCCAGAAATGTCCTACCCCTGTGCTTCATCTCAAGGTGGAGTCATGAGATCTTGTTTTCTAACGTTCTCAGTCTCTGCGCTTAGGTATTAAAGCACATCCGGCCTTCCCGTAGTGCTCGACATCGCTGTCTCTTTCGTGAAAGGTCCAATTGAACTCGACCTGGACAATTGAACTTGCTCACATATCTTGGAGCTTGAGAACCACAACGGGTGTACTAACGGATGTATCTCCATCTCCAATGTGTCATCTTGAGGGCTCAAGAGAGGGCTTAAGGTTGGTGCGACATCGTAGTGTCGCGCAAAATCCCGTGGATGCAGGCCACACCAGCCAGAGGTTCCAACATAGATTCGCCCCATGCTCCCAGTGGCTGATGGAAGTGGTACAAAGGTACAAAGTGTTGTGTTCTAGTTAAAGTCGTGAAGCTCACATGGTTCTGTTTCAATACGGATGGGCTGTAGAAAGTTGCATGCAATCTGGTTGGTGCCTTTCTTTGTCGGTTGGCTGGTAATTGTCGGTCCAGGAATGGGAAAAGAAATGAACACTAAATGAATGAACTATCCATGCACGACTTGGAGCCAAACAAACGAATTCTATGATTCCTTGCAAGAACATCCTCCAAAACAAACAATGCCAACGTCCAACGTCCATGATCCAAGCAAGCTGCCTGACTTTTTGGGGCGCAGCACCTTGCAGGCCTTGTGCACTAGGTACATGTGAGAATACCCATTGAACACCCCATGACTTCTGGGGTGCTCGAAACAACCTGTGCAAATCCACCCGGCAAGGTTAAACAAGAACTCGCTTGCGACGTGTTATAGAAGAGGACGTCAAATGTTGCACTGGTCAGCCGGCCGGTGCGAACTCCCAGGCACAATCACGATGCTCGGGCATGCTTGGCCTCAAGTAACTTCAGCTTTGATAGGGTCCTATGACTCCTGGGGCGGGGCGTCAGCCAGAAAGTATCCACAAGTATCTAAGAAAAGAGACTGCGGGCAACATGCAAACAGGATAGTTTTGGTGCGATACGGATTCCGCAACTTCAAAATATAGTATGAACATGTATGAACAGAATGTAGCGTCTGCCAAGCTGACGGCCAGATTTGCAAAGCCGTGCCTGAATCAACAAGCCAAATCATGTTCCCGTGTCTGTAACTTTTTCTCGGGGAGAACAAGGGTGCGTCAATGATGTCAATCTCGATGGCAATGCCCGCTGAAAGCATTCAAGATATTCAAGTGAGTGTGAGTTCACTCAGGAAAAGGCTCATTGCGGACTTGGATGTGGCATAGTCTCCAAGATGTTGACTGAGAACAGCCTTACAAAAGCCCATCATCAAGCTTTGGTCGCTGCAACCTCTTTGGAGCACAGCAGGTCGAGGCCAGTGCCAAGTTAGCCCAGTACTGCCTCGAGGAGATTGGATTAATTCAAGACCAGGAAAGTTGTGTGTATATATATACATATACTGTATGACGTTTTGTGGCCCTAAACGTCCCTAGGCCCTAGACACAACGATGTCACATACGAGATGATATGAGTAATCCGGGTAGTCGAAATATATCATGCTGTATCTACTGCGCGCCACCCTGTGCACCATCCACTATTAAGCTTCATGGGGCATCCTTGGGTTTTCTATGGTTTTCTTAATGGAGGGGGGCCAGGTACAATGGTACAACTCAAACAAATGTTGTTAATCATCAAAGATCATCAAAGTATCAAAGGCATTGTTGCCAATCAACAACAGCAAACAACAACCACAACCAACAACCGACAACAACCAACAACCAACGACAACAACAAATGATCTGTGGCAGCTTTGCGGAAAATAGAGATATTAGGAGGCGACCCAACTTCATCAGGGTCTTCACGATGAGATCTACAATCTACAGGCCCTAGGGGCTTGCACTACGTCCAGAAACACGCTCTGCCGACGCTTTTCGTTTTGGTCCAAGGATTATGTTCACGTCGCCAAGAGGCGGGTTTTCAGGGTCCAAGCTCACCGCCTTGCGCAAAGCCCTGGCCTTGGCTTCAGCTGATGCTTCCAGCAAGCGCGCAGGCACGTGCCCAGTGAGTCCATGGATGTCCCTGGAGTCTAAGTGAAAAAGGCTCGGCTGTGGACACTGTCATTCAGGTTCATCTTCGAAGCCTTAGGTCCAAGATATTCCAAGATGAAGAAAACAGCAACCTTTGAGTTGACCTGCTGAAGAACATTCCAAGGCGATCCGCACATGAATAGCACAATCCAAGATGGGTTGCAAAAACATTAATGCTTGAGCATTCGACCAAACAACAGGCCAGGTTGTTCCAACCTTTCGCAAAATCAGGGTTCAACCTGAGGCCGACGAGGAGAACAAAAGCAGAAACCAAACGAATCTAAGTCAACAGAGCTGATCACTGATGCAATGGCCACAACGAGGGCCAGACTGCAAAGATATTCGCAACCTGAAAAGAATGAATCTGCAACTCGAAACAAAACATCTACCACACCTGGTTTCAGCTTGATCCACTTTCCTTAGATGTCACACTTGCAGCATGTGTTGGCTACTGTGTTTGCACAATATGCTTTGGCAGTCCATGCCAATATATATATAATATATATATATAGCTCGCCAAATTAAAAAAAAAATCAGCCGGGAATCCCATTCTGGAACATTGCCAGCGCTAGGTCGTGGAAAACCTGCGGATATTGAGGCCGCAAATCAACAGTTCAGTTTAGTTTCCCTAAAATTCTAGGAACCAAATCATGAGTGCGAGCATGTCTGAGAGCGCTTCTTCAAGGAAGCTCCCTCCAGCCCGCTTCCTTGAAGAAGCGTGAGCTATCCTGCGTCCACATCTAGGAGCTTCCTATTGCTAGGACCTAGGAGAACATTCAGTCAAATTTGTCTCTTAATTAAGTAGGAACCTACTTAATGACTAAGTAGGAGCGGGCTTTAAGAAAAAAACACCCCACGGATCACCCCAACTCCTGGACATGCCCAACGACTCATGTCGCAAGCATTTTCTCTCGCCAACCATTTTGACCAGCATCACGCTCCATGTTTTCGGACATTGGCCAAGATCAGTCCAAGTCCAGTTCGATTGTCTGGGGCTTCAACTGGACGTCCCATTGTACAGGTGCCAACTGCGCAACACTTTGGGTCGCTGGCTCCGAAGCATCCTCAATACGAGCCACCTCTTCCGGGTAAACTTGGTCTACATCCTCCAGCGGCAGATTTGATACATCGGCAGCCAGGGGAGCTGGTAGGCCAAGCTCTTCAAGCCGCGCTCGAGATCGATCCTCATCTCGGTGAACCCAATTGTAGACATGTTGAACTGCTGCCTGAGCACCGATGGTCAAGCCGGGGGGTGGACGGCACATGGCCGAGCTACGCAATACTGGGTCATCACCGTGAGAAATGTCTCGTGCTAAGTTTTGTACATGTTGGACAGGGCTGAGTTTGGTCAAAGGAATCGCCCTTCTATGATGACCTTGTGATGTCGTGATATCCAAAAATATCCAAAAAGACCGCATGGTTAGCATCAACATTAATTGTATATGACATCCCAATCATCCCCACCTTGGCAGCTGGAGACAAAGCTAGAAAGGCTTCGGCTGAAATCAGGTCTTCCAAAGAAGTGCAGAAGGAACTTGCTGTGTTTGCTGCACGCTCAGCAGCACAGCCGCCGAATCGTTTGTTGTCGGCGCGGTAGCAGTAGGTCATGCACTTCAGGATGTGAGCGCCGGAATTTCGCGCTTGAACATTGAGGCAAACATCTTCAAAGAGCCGAAGCTGAGGCACATATTCCACCTGAAGCTGAAACAGTTGAACTAGATTCAGCATAACCACTTTGAAGACAGATGTGCTATCTAAAGCCCACTGGGCTGCTTTCATTGGAGCTGTGCCATCGTCCCGCAGGAAACCACTGATGGCATAATTTCCTTTTGCCCAATGGGACGCCTTTTGCACGGCCAACAGGGCCTTGGCAAACATGGCACCTTCTCCACAGCGCTCGGTGCGGCGTCCCAAGGGCCGCCTCAGAGGCGTCGTAGCAACGATGGCACCAACTTGCTGGAGTTGACTCTGGATTCTCTGTTGCTCCTCCTCCAACGCTTTCTCCGAGAGCTTCTCCAAACTGTAGAAACTGGTAATGCTGTCGTCAATCAGCCAGCAATACTGCATGTGCTGCAAGGGGCCATAACCTCCTTCGATCTCTGCCCGGAAGGAGGTGCAAAGCTTTTGAACTGACCAACGTGCAAAGGCTGGGCCCATCTCGCTTTCAGGCAGAACTATCAGAGGCATATCAGGCCATGCATCACGATATGCTTGAGCTTCAGCTGGTTCCACAACCACCACAACCAAAGCACCTGGGCTGTCTGCTTCAGCAGGAGTTTCTGCGTCAAACGCCTCATCACCAAAGCAATGCACTGCCCTCCAATTCAAATGTGCTTCCTTGGCGCGACCCTTGCTTGGGATGAAGACGGGATATGGCGTCTCTGCCACCCATGCATCCTCTTGTCCAACTTGACCTCGCTGACCAAACCACCAGCACCAACTGAAAAGACCTTCGGCCGAGCGCTCCGTGCACCACAAGCTCATACGCAAAACCGGAAGCTCACCATCTGGCCCTTGGTAGGTCGCAGCTTGTCCCCCCGGAGGCCCTCGACGCCGATCCCAGGCAACAAGAGTCCACCGTTGCAGGGCCTCGTCCGATCCCCTCGTTTCAGGCGGTGTTTGCATGGCTTTTCGGTACTTGTCTTGTTTGAACATACCCATGGTGTGAAAATATCGCCCTTCTGCGATCTTCTGTTTCATATTCCTGGCGCGTTGGATACCTAAAACCTTAGCATTGATCTTTCCATAGCGGGGCGAGACATGCAACATCTTCAGGGAGCGCTTGCCTGCAGGCTCCAGTCGCTGCCGCCTCAACGCTTTCAGCTGCAATCTCAGCTGCCGTTGCGACCGCGATTGGACCACGGCCCCCGTCGCGGCTTGAGCCGTGCTCTGAGCCAAGCCTTGCAATGCCTCTTTCGAGTGGTTTCGCCGATGCACGGGTGCCAAGCGCTTCTTTCGGGGTCTTGGGGTGCCACATTCCTGCTCTAGAACGGCCAACTGCTCATCCAGTTGGAACAAGCATGATTCCAAATCATCCACCTCTTTGGCCACTGATTGCCAGTAGCGCTGCTCTGCACGCTCAGGACCAAGTGGGTCGTAGACGCTGGCAGACATGGCACCAAACGGGCATGAACATGCTGGAATGACTTGGAAAGTTGTGGATGTTTGGAGAACCCAATTCTGCGACCTCCACGCCTGTAGCTAGGCCGGTGTCCTTTTGCTGCTTGCATCATCTTGTGTCCGAGTTAAGTTCAGAAACTTACATCTTCACCGGGTTTTGAATGCCCAACCCGGTTCAATGTGTTTCCTTTCCTGACTCCCACGGGCAACATCACTTGTTCATTGTTGATCTTTGACTTTGACCAACCCTATCCAACATGAGCACATCTGGACAGATTTGAGGTCATGCAATTGGCAACTCACACGGATGTGGGCACTCAATCTTCACTCATCTCGTACCTCCTCATCTCGTACCATGAGACTTGCTCCGAACTTGTCAATGGCTGCCGCCAACCACCGTTCCTCGTGCAGTCCACGGCGGTCCCAGTCCGGCGGTCCCAGTCCGGTCCACGGTGAGGCTCCAGGCGGCGGAGTCAAAGCGATTCCGCAGGATCTCAATCTGCCCAATGCGGTAGAAAGGCCTTGGGTTTTTTGGGGGGTGCTTGCTGATCACTGCTTGCCGCGGTTTTGTTTTTTGCGGTGGTCTGACATCGATCCCCTTTGATTCTTTCGTGTGGTTTTTGATACTTCTTGAGGAAAGAATACTTTAATTGTACCTGTAATTGTAGTGTATAAGTAGATAGATGTAGATAGTAGTAGTGAGCCAAGTAGTAAACATGTGCATGGAAGCTACTACATCCGAGGAAGCAGTCGAGATCGGGTTCACAGCCGCAGCCGCGCCCACTGTTAAGGCTGTTGAAAGAAGGTGGTTGCAAGAAACGAATGCCCAACATATCAACATATCTGCTGCATGCTTCTTCAAAAGCTCAGCCACCACAATAAGGAAGAAACGCATGTGTGTTGCCACATTTGTGGCATGACTGATGCCACATTCTTGTCAAGAGTCAAAAGACTGTAAGCAGGGAACTCAAGCAGGGTGATAAGTCTCAAACAGGGAACTCAACGGATCTGCCCATGCACATCGGACCAAGGCATCTACAGCTGCATCCCACTCCTCGATGCAAGTTGGCACAGAATCTGGCCTTTTCTTCAAGACTTGTTATTTCTCACATCTGGCGCCTGCCAATTCTAATTTAGATTGTGTCGATATACTGGCATACTGATACTTTTCAATGTTTATTTGATTCGTTTCTATATGGTCTCTGAGTGTATTCTTTCTCGGCTGGTCTGGATGCACCACACTCTTGAAACCGGTGCGGCAAAATACACCCAAAACGGCACAGCCAGTCGCACAATCCTGGGGCATGATATCTTCCTTCCTCTAGCCTATCGATCTGTCTTTGACTCCTGCATCTGCATGTGGGTGATGCCCAGGTTGAACTGGCCAGGGACAAACTGCATCGCACATCATACAATACAATGACATACAGTGACTGTTTGCATGTGTCTTCCGGCCCTTGCCATGCAGCTGGCCTGTGTCTTGGAAGACTGGGGCTGCCGCGCCCCATCACGAATAAACAGCGTGTCAGACTCAGCCGGCTTTGAAGTTATTGAATTAGCCCTTGTGCAAACATCCAATACCAAGGCACCAGCCGACTCCCAGTCCCAAACGCGGAGCCATGTTCGAACTGACAGCGCTGTGAGGGCAAGGGTCACCTCAAGCAAATTGAGTGAGAGTCATATTTTTAAATATATATTTGCATATATATATATATGTGGTGGTTGATCAATATTCTTTCATCCTGGAATGGCCATTCTTCGCGGAAAAAAAGATATCTTTCGCGGATCTTTCGCGGCCTCATCGCGAAGCATGGTCCTACAACCATGTCTAGCTAACATGAGCCGGAACATGTCATAGTATCACAAAATAGGGACAGACATCTTGCAGCATGACCACAGTAGAAGGTTGAACGTTTCCACAGCTACTCAGGGTCACTTGCAGCATCTGTGGCGCAACTCAAACCAATCCTCGTGCCAGCTACCAACACAGGGTGATGCAGCTTGGGGAATGTTGGGGGGCCTCAAGCTGGGAACCTGGACTTTAGCGGCACATTCGCGAAACTTTCGCGGATCTTTCGCGAAATTTCACTGGCGCTTTCCCGGGGAAGCCGTATGCAAACATCTGCACAGCCCGTCAGAGCAGCTGCAGGTTGTTGCCTCAGTCAGGGCTGCTCCTACTCAGGTTGCTTGTCTATGATAGTGGGGACAGGAATCGGAGAATCCTTTACGCACTGCCAGGGCTGGGCACGGAAATATTGAGGCTTCAATTCGTTAGTCTGTGACATATGGGGACACTTCCGCCCACCGGCTCTGCCGGAAGATTGCCTTGTATTTCTATTCTTTGTCAGTAAGGAAAACGTATGAAAGCGATGACCGTCGATAAATCTTTCGCGAAAAAAAAGATACTTTCGCGAACCTCATCGCGAATCTTTCGCGGATTGTTCTAACAACATCTGAAAGGCTGTTTTATATAAAACTCCTTACACGGGGTTTTCGATCAACTCCCATGTATAAAGTTGTGCAAATCTATACGTATACATATAATATATATATATATACTTTTTCGACACTACGAAATTCTCATTCGCTCAAGACACTTGTTTTTCTTCACATTGGGGACTGGTACGGTGCAGTTGTACTGCTCGGTGAAATGGTTGGAAAATTGACTCATTCAAACGCTCTTTCTTCTGTACAACTCTGTTGGACCTGACTTATCACTTTTAATTCAGACTACCCGGACTCTACCCCATTCAGCGAAGTCGAACTCGGCATTCACCTTGATGTAGTCGATCATTCCACTTAACTCATCCCACCTCAACCTCGACGGCGCATCGGCTATATTGCTAGGTGACGCTATACGCGTGTACCAGTTGAGACTATTGTTGCCAGCATCTCTCACCATAGCCTCGACTAACATGCGGCGACATGCTGCTGACTTAGTGACCCCAGCTACAAACGCTTCCTTGACTCCTTCGTTGTCGATGAAGTACAAGACACGTGCCCCCTTCACCAGGGGAGCAAACTGGCACTTCACTATCACAAACGGCAGCATCTCCGCCTGGGCGATGACATGCTCATGACCATATCCACGCCAGTCAGCTACTATCTCATCTTGTATCCTGAAACCGAATGCGATGGCCTTCTCAAGCCTAGGTGAGAACAAGACAGCTCCACAAGTGGCCACACCGTCTTCATAGGCCCCATCAGTGAACACTAGACATGGGTCCTCACCATTCACGGCTTCTAACCTCCTAGGTGGGGCTTGTCTCAACAGCTCTGCCGACGTCTGCAAGGCCTCCCTGATCTCCCTCGTGACCCCTCTCACTGTCCTGGCCATGATCTGTTTCACTGGCCCCAACAGGGGGGCTAGCCACCGCCCACTGCACTGTGCCTCGGCGAAGTTCAACCTCCCGTATACCTTGGCTGCGGTTGCCGGGGGGAATGCACACAAAGACTCTACCTCCGTGATCGTTGCCTCCAACTCATCAACACGATCGTCCTTGTTGCGGACAACCACTACCCCATCCTGGGACTGGTTCAGGTCAACCACGACTCCGAGCACGACGAATCTCCTAGCAGGCGGCGTTCTCTTCTTCACCTCCTCGGCTATTCCCCACCCGAGCACACGGAAGGCCTCCTCCATGACCACCTGGGACCTAACAACCATGCCTTCCAGGTCAACATGCGGGAAATCGTCGAAGTAGTTGACGACCGGCAGGAACAAGAACCTCTGGAGCACTTCACGCAACGCCCGAGCAGCCCTGTTGAAGGCCATCACGGACCCCGTTGCACCAAAAGGGAGGACATAAGACACAAAGTACTTCACTCTGTTCACTTCTGGGTCGAGCACTGCAATCACTGCGCAGCTTCTATCGGCTGGCGACAGGGCTAGCTGCTTGTAGGCTGATTTGAGGTCAAGACACCTGCCACTGAGACGCAGTCCCTCACCCCTAAACTCCTCACACTTCTTCCCCTTCAGCACCAACCCGCTCGAGAGGCTCACTTGTACCTCATCTTCCTCCTTCCCAAACGCCCGCATCCACGCAGCCGCCAACGAGACCACCTCGTCGACACCCCCCAAGTCAAGCTTCTCCGCTACTTTGGTTTCCATACTAGCATGCAACTCATGTTCCTGTCCCTCCAGCCCAGCTCGGCGACCTTTGCCTTCATGCTGTCTAACACATGATCCGGCGTCTGGAAGGTCGTGTCAAAGGGGTGTTGAAGTAGGTGTGCGCGCCTGACTGCCTCTTCCGGGGTCATTGGGATGCCAAAAACCACTTTCATTGCACCTCCGTCATGTTCGTCCCCGTGATCTCCCCCCTCATTGGACGGAAAACGATGAAGAATCCGGGTACCAGCTGGAAAAACTCGACCTGCAACGAGGGTATCGGCCTTGGAGCGGCCACTCCAATTGGCAACTTTGTGGCAATCACGGGCACCTTTCACCTCGACTTCGACGACTTGGCCGTCTTCGGGCAGCATTGCCTGTGCTCGCCGCCCCCTGGGTTGGCGCCCAGCCGCCACTCGCCATGTGGTTGATGCCTGTTGCGCCAAGGGAGTGGAACGAGCTTCAAGGTGGATTGGGAGGTTCTGTGCATGGGCGAGTTGACTGATGATGGCAGCAATCCTCTGACATAAGAGGAGGGGGTATTCTGCCTCACTAGCGGTGTCATACTGCCACTTTCCAGATGGGGATTTGCTCACGGACCACCCTTTGTGAGCATGCTGTCTGTCACACATCACTCCCAACTGTTGCAGCTGCTTGCAATTGTGAAGTAGGGATGTCTTCTTGCCCCGCTCCCCCCCATGCATACACACCTGGAACGTCGTGAAGTACACACCTGACAGGTTGAACAGCTCCGCAATGCATGGCACCATCCACATGTAGCTGTTGGTGGGATTCTCAATGAAAACTATGACACCACGTGAGTGCCCATACGTGAAGATGCGTGCAGCCGTGGCATAACACGCATTGGCCAACTCGACTCTTGTCAAATCTGTTCCCTTCAACCCCGGCAGCCCGCTGGGGTACTCCGCACTCCTTAGTGGTGGTGGTGAAGGTACTCCTTGTTGCCGGAGCCAACGAGGGATCGGTTTGTCACGCGCTCGCGAAGCTGTTCCGCAGGGGGGGGCCATTGGGATGAAGTAGATGGTGCCCTCATCGATCTTCTTCTCTATAAAACATGCACTGCTCTCACGTGACAAGTCCAGAACTATACATGGTCCAACTCGATTCTTACACTTCTTATGATCTACTCCTAGTGCAGAAAAACCGTGCGCTTTTAAACACTTACTTAGCTTACAAGATCCGGCAAACAACTCAAACGTGCGCGGCACTTCGCCACTGACGTTTTCACTCAGTCTGCCAGGACTGTGCCTGGGTGCTTGAAAAGTTTCTGTACATGGGTCGGGGCCCTCCGCAGATCTCCTGGTGGACACCGATCCCGTTGCCCACACTGCCTCTGCCTCCTGGCCTGTGGGCTCTTCATTCGTGACCTCTTGTCACTGGCTGCACTGCATGGCTCCATGGCCCTGCTTCCAGCATTTCATGCACGTGTGCAGCCCCTTACCACACTTTCCATCTTTGCCGTTCTTGCAGTTCCCGAGCTGGAAGCCATAGCATAGGCGCTCGCCATGTTTCATCGGTGAGAGGCCCCACAGCTCCTTCGGCATCTTGATGGGCATTTTCTTTGGGGCCACCGTCTTCTCTGCCTCCTGGTTCGATGAGCTGGCTTTGGTCTTCTTGGTCTCTGCTTCACGAAGGCGTTCCTTCAACTTCTGATTCTCCTTCATGAGCTTGCGCTTCCCCGCCCCAGTGCCAGTCACTTCACTGGCCTGGGCTGGCTCATCTTTGGCGGCTGATCCCTTCGTGCCCGGCAGCGGCAGCAGGATGGTCAAGAAGGCCGGGTTGCCCACGACCCTGTCCACCGCCGCGTCTGCCAGGCGCCTGCCTGTCCCGTCACGGCCGAGATCTCCTTGCAGGTCTTCGGACATCAACTTCCATGCCTTCCTGTCTGCTGCCGCCACCTGGGGCAAAGTCACACCAACGTAGCCCATGGGAGGTTCTCGCTGGTACTCTTGGAACATCTTGTCGATCAGCTTTTCGTGTGCCGTGAAGCTCATCACATCGGCCACTTCTAGTGCCAAGCCCCTCCTGGTGTATGCCTGTCTCAGGCGCAAGTCCGTGCGAATACCGCAGCTCCCCGTCCACCCTCATGGAGTGGAACTTATCCACCACATGGTGAGCCGGCTCAAGCTGATCTGTCAGCTGCAGGTGTGCATACACCGCCTTCAACTGCGCCCACCTCGTCTTCCTCTCCACCGGTAGGAGGCAACTTTCTGGTCTTTGTGCCATCTGCCGCCTGCGTGCCCTCCAGCCTGCTCCGCAATTCTGCGGCCACTATGGTGTAGGCCTCATGGTACAGCTTTCGGAGCTTCGGGAGATCCGCATGGTCCGCTGCCCCCAACAATGGCCTTGCCACTTGATTGATGAAAGCTTGATCATCACCGGAGCCTGGCGACCAGCTGCTCGCAAATGCAAATGTGCTCATCGTATTCCATCCTCTGCGGCTCATTTCGTCCTTGTAGCCGTCCAACCCCATGTCTCTCAACTTGGCGTCAAAGACCGCATGGGACTCCGTCAATGTGGCCATGGCTTCTACAACCACAAAACAGCGTCACTCGGGCCTCACTTGACTTCGGGAGTACACATGAACCACACTCATACTAGGTCTGCTAAGTCCCACTTTCTTGCTACTCTACTCGATCACCTCTTACCTGACATCATCTCCCTCGCTCCCCCTGGCGCGCGCTTCCCGCAGTCCTCCGGAGGCAACCACTTGGGCGTGCAGGACCACCCCGCACCATTCGACCTTGCCGGACAACCCGGTGTCAGGTCGAATGCACTTGGGAACAACTCCCTTGTGCCACATGACTTCACTTGACTTGCACCCACTTCTTGCTCACCTACACACATCACCTCGGCTCTGCACCCACATTTTCCTCGCGGCGCTAGTCCGGAAGCTCACCTGGTGTACCCTTCGCACACCTTGCACTTACTGCCCCATGCATGCACTTCCTGTTCAAGCTTGATCATGACGGCACTGATCGCTCGTCCACAAGCTAACTTGCCTGGGGTGACACTTCCACAGTTTCCCAGTGAGGCCATGTCTGTACAGATCCGTCGTCGCTTTCTTTGGCGCACCTAACTTGGCCACAACGACCGCTTCCAGGTTACGTTCGTCTTCACTCTCTTGATCACCTGGCTCTTCCTCACTGCTTTCACTTGTCATCTCAGTCATCTCTCCAGGCGATGGACAGACTTCTCCGGTGTCCTGACCTCCATCATGTCCCACTCCTCACCTGGCGCCAATGCCTCGTCACCCTCGTCGTCGCTAGCCGGGACTACCCCGGAGCTCGCAGGTGGGGACTTCTCCCACCGTTGGTTCCGAGGTGCATCAGGCTTGAACCTCCCCTCCCGGATCTCCTTGATCACGTTCGTGAGGATGTCCAGACCTTCTGCCAGGGCGTCACGACTGTAGATCACCACGCTTCGGTCTTTTGGCTTCACGTGATAGCCCAACAGCCTCCTCACCTTCTGAGGGGGCACCCACATCACCTAAGACTTGCGGGCTGCAGGTGTACTTCTGCAATAGCTCACACAGCCATATGGATGCCTCTGGAGTTGTCAACCGAGCTTGACTCCACCCACCGCCTGGCACTGGCGTCGGCAGGAATGGCTTGCCTACCAGTGCTCTCAGCCCGGAGATGTGTCTCAGCTTCAACAACTCCTCGGCCCACTGCACTCCGGCGATGCCTTCACTTGGTGCTACCACAGGCAGGACCCTTCTTGCCCTGCCCACCAATGAGTCAGTCTTGTGAATGCTGGTGCCACCCTCCAAGTACCCACCTTCGACTTGAGGCTCCACTTCAATGCCCTGGCTGTCCCCAAAACGGAGGCGTGCATATATGCACAACAAGCAGTGTCCAGCAAAGATCCTGTCCTGCAGGGGGAAATTCTGCTCTGCCAGCACGATCTCTAAGGTCGTCACCTGCCTCACTGTCAACGCATCTCGTTGCCGCAGAACTCGCTTGGTAAGATAGCTCCGATGCGCCGACCCTGTCACCCTGCCACTTTGAAGCACTGGGTCGACGTCCTGAAGCTGGATGGTGCCTTTGCAGAATGCCAAAGCGCTCCTGAAGCTGTTGGCCCTGGTGGCTGGCGCTCCATCTCGTCGTAGCTGGTCGACATACCTGTACACTTGGTCTTCACTGAGTGGAAAGGGAGGTAGGCCTTTTGCTCGGGCCCATCGGACATACAGCATCATTGCACTCAACCTCACTTGCAAGGTTCCATTCTTCTTCTTGGCGAAGATGTCATCCAACACACTGTCACCTGACTGGTCGAGCATCCCAGCTGCAGCGCATGAGTGCCTGGCCTCGTCGATCACGATCTTCCAGCCCTCAAGCACCTTTGCACGCTCAGTCTCAAGGGCCTGAGCCCACAGCATCTTCTGCCTTCCATCGAGTTTGAAGCTTGGTTTCAACTTCGACTCACCTGGATCTTCTTCTTGCCCACGTACTTCAACATCATCTTGAAGCATAGCATGAGGCCTCCAGTTGTCTTCGTCGAGAAAGGCAGTCTCCATCACACTGGCGCCTCCTTTCAGCACCAGCCCAGCGAACCCTCGCTCCCATGGCATCTTCAGCTCCATAGGCACGTGTGCCTTGAGCTTCTGGATCTCTGAGGTGCCCATGTCATGGATGTTCAGGCTCGCTTCTGCTTCTGCCTTCCTCTTCTTGTCACGGTCTTGGACCTCCAGAGGGCTGGGCTTCACCTGTTCTCCTTCACTTGCACTGTCAGCCTCCATGACCTCCGTCGGCGACCCCGACCTGTTGTTCGTCACGTCCTCCATTGTCATGCTCTGCATCTCTCGGAGCCGGTCAGCCATCTCATGTATGTCGCCCACTTCAGCTGGCATCATTTGGAGGTCGTCTGCCGTCGTCTGGAGGTCCTCATCCACATCGATCACCACGGTCCCCCCCGCAACTCCTCCCCCTGGCAGGGGGCCTGTGTCCTCGAACAGCTCCTCGAAGTTCATGGCTGCTCAAAAACTGGAGTGTGGGGGGGACATGTCTTGTAGCCAAAATGGCACACGAATTCGACCGTCCATCAACCTTGTTGATTACCTTTTTCTAGTTATCAAAAGACATCATCACTGCGTGACGGATTGCGTTTTTCGTTTATATGCACCTGAGAAGGCAGGGGGCGAAAGCCAGCCCTCGTAGACCATCTGGTAAAACCCTCCTCATTCGCGAGCTTCATGTCAAATGCTCTAAGATGCATCTGCCGCGCCCTGCTTTGGGCAATGTCCTTTTGCTAGAACCCGCTTTTGGGAGGTGCACATGTTTGCAGGTGGCTGCCAAACAAAGCCCAAAAGGGCAGCAGCAAAACTGTAGCTTAAGGATCCTCAAGGTCTGTTCTGGGGGACTTGCTGCTACTAGTGGAACCCACTTTTCCAGAGGTGCGCTCTTTAGTGCGGGACGTCCTGAAGCGCAGGAGGGCACCAACCCAGAGCAAACATAATTTGTCTCTCAACGTGTTTTCTACTTAGCAGACTTAGCTGCTTCGGACTCTGCTTCGGCCAGATCCCAGAAACTAGCGCTCCTTTGCTGGTGCCCTTTTTCTTCCCAAAAAAAACACACAGAACTCTTAAAAGGGCACCGCCCACATGGCCTCTTCATTGAGGCCGTTGGTCACGGCGCGTTTCGGCCCATAACTTTAACAAAACGATCAAAAAGGGCACCACCGCACACGGCCTTTTCGTTGAGTCCGTTACTGACGGTGCGTTTCCGCCCACCGTCTCGCTTGGACGGTGTTCTGCGCATTCCCTGCTGCCAGTATAGAACACGCCTGCTTGTCACAACAGCGGGCAGTACAGAAAACAGTAACGGCCCGCGCGTCCACGTGTGCTAGCAAACAACCATATTCACAATTAGGCAAGCTGCTGTACTTAATGGTATACCAGATCTTTTTCGCATCACTTGCATCACCAAGGCCCTTAGAAACATACATTTTAGCTACACTTTGGCCACCTCCACCACTCTCTGGGTTCATCCTACCCGCCAGGCACCACCTCGCAACCACAATACTACTCACTTTGTTCGCCCATCAAGCACTCACTCCAGCCTAGCCCATCCGCTGGCTTTCGTAATGCAGTAATTCATATCTACACAGCAAACAACAGACTTGGTGGAAGGAATGGCCAAATGCCCGAAACTAGCTGAGAACTGGGTGCACCGGCGCACAAGGTGACCTTGAAGCCTCGTCTCATGGCCTGTCAGACTCCGGTGATGGCCGTGATTGGATTTGGGCGTGTTGGGCCTCTGGACGTCCACTGCCAATTCCCCAGCTGTGAATCTCCTCACGGGTTGAAGCTGTGAAGTGATGTTCCATTGCCCGGTCTCCGACCTTCCATCCAACCGATGCGCGTGGGTGTCATGTCTCCTTCCCACGTTGGATCTTTGTTGGCTCTGGACCTAAGAGGTTTCAGGGTCCTCTTGGGCAAACCTACAACATCAATGGCATGAGAAGCCAACGGGGAGGAGCTCGAGGCTTGTGCAGGGTGCCCTGCAAAAACGCATGCAGCACCTGGTCGCAGGCAATAGTTGGCACCAGGGTACACCAGGCAGTCGGATCTGTGGACATGGCAACTACCACTGCCAGACAGTAACCGGCAGAGGGAACGTACATGAGTCGCTCCCCAACCACCTTGCAGGTGAATCAGGACAATGTTGAAGCAAACCAGGTGAGCATCTATGAAGAAAAGACATCCAAGACCTTTAGTCTGCTGATCCCTCTGAGTATGTGACCGTACCGACTGGGAACAGGATGTTACCTGGTTGATACTTTGAAGCCCCCAGGCGACACGGAGCGGGGTCGGCTTTAAGGTGCTGAACCACTCTTGCACCCAATAGAAAAACTTTTCTACACGCGCATATGTGTAGATCAACTGGAGTTTTGCGGATCTTCCTGGGTACGCGGCTGGCTGGCAGAAACGACACAACCTACAGCAGTCTTGGGTGAACCAGGCATAACCCACTTACGGGCACATCATAATCTACACTGAACTCAAGGGGCCTAATGCCCCCCAACGTCACACTAAAGCAAAAGGCTGGGCTCGGCGCCAGAAGTGCCAAAGCTATCAACCCTGACCGCCGGTGCCTTGCTGGCAGTTGCCTGAGGTGGTCTGAGTGCTCCCAGTTCGTATCACGTTTCTCTTACATGTGCTAGTATGTAATTAGTGAGTTCCTGTGTGGTGCACGCATGCATGTCGTTTCTGCGTACGCATGGGAAGCAACAAGCACACGAACAAGCACATAATTATATACGTGAGAAGAGCAAACACAAAAACAAAAGAAAAGGCATCCATATCCACAAACCTCTGCTTGCTCATGCCGCAAAAACGACCTTCGAAGCTCCTCTTTGGCCCGCGCATGACGAAGCTCACGGAGGCCATGCAGCCCACGTAGGCGCTCAAAGGCAACATCAAGCGGCAGTCGAAGACATCTCGCACCTTAGGACAGCACTTGCTCGGCAAGGATAGCAAAGCCGGCCAAGTTTTTGGTGCATGTCACATGAGGTCACCCTACGGCCACCAGTGAGGTAATATACGGAAAACGTGTGGATCTGCCGTAAAGAGGAAGCAAGAGGCAACAAAATCAACAAAGGTGACCACCGTGTGACCGTTCAAACTAGCAAAGGCCACGACCATTGGTATGGCATCCATGGAGTAGTCGTAGCCTCAACGCCAACTTGAGACACCAACTTGCATGCATAGTGGCATAGTGCGGTACAGTCATCACATCACAGAGAAAGCTTATATGATGCAAGGCTCAGCACAACACAAAGAAACTGTGGCCAAACCAATAGCCTTGGTGAGCTTAAGTTGTGAGAGAATGCTCTGCACCGGCGCAAACTCAGGTTCTGGCCGCATATAGACCCCATGGACATATGAATAGGACAGGATCCTTGCCTGTGCGGTCTGGCTTGTAGTCACTACGGTCAAAATTTTGCGCAGTTGCGACTCCAGAATGCTCCAGATGTTGGTGCGCACTCACCAGCTTCAAGTATAGCTATGCCAGCTTCTATCCAGGCACAGGGGCCACAAGGAGCTTTCCTGTTTCGTTTCGCTCCACAGAAGTTGTGGCCTTCCGCTCAGTCTCAAAACTGATGGGGTTATCTTGTGGTGACCTGGGAGTTTGCTCAGGTCAGTCACTGCGTTTTCGTCAAGAGTGCAACGCGCAAGAAGCAAGAAGCCCAAAAAGACATTCGGCAAGAAACAGGCAACAACTGCGGATGTGCTTGCCGGCAGGAAGTAGGAGGCTGCATACGAGATATTTCTTGGGCCTTTGCATGTTCAGTGACGTTCCTCCAGTATGCCGGTATCTCGCCACAAACACCAAGAATGTACCTGAGAGGTCTCATTCGTGCAAAGGGAGCTATAGGGCTACAGTACATATGGCTGTAATTATGGCTGTATATATGATTTGATTATATTCATTTGTAGATTGAAACACAAAGATGCACGCTTCGATTGACCACTGCCTGGACTATGACTCCCAAAAGAACTCTGTACCTTTCTGAGGCAGCGTCTTGCAACCAATAGGCCGGCTCTCAGCCTCAAGGCGTTGTTTTTGGCGCATGCGGCGCATGGGGACGATACCAAGCGAAGCAAACGACTTCAGCACTGGGCCTGAAACGGCGAAAAGTGCCTGAAAACCAGGAACGCTGCTGGTTCATGTGAACTCATGCGAACTCATCTGGCGAGAATTCCCAACAGGGCAAATTCATCAATCCCACATCGATGGTGTAGACCGTTGGTTGTGCTTGCTGCAAACAAGTTCCCTGCTTCTCCAGATCAGCAAAGCTAATTCAAAGGGCGGCTGGAGTCCTGAGCTACCGGCGCTTGGCGAAGCGCTCTTTTTGGTGCTGAACCCAGGCCTCAGGAAACCAGTATTGCGCCCAAAGTATTGGCAAAGGTATATGGTCACACCTGCATCGAGAGGAAGTCCAAGAGCTCCATAAGCATTGGTATGGAAAACAGCGTGAAGCCCGATTCCTGCGGAGCGGTATGGAAGCTCCTTGGTCGCAACCGCACCACTCAGTGGCCAAACCTCGCCTTGCATAGGCCGCTTGCCTGGGGAATTCATGGACATCGGTCGCTGGCTGCGAACGAACCCCCGAAGGCCCCACGAGCCCATCTCGGCGCTGCGCGATGATCAGCAGCACGGGGAAGATCATCCACAAAGGGTTCTGCAAGATACCTGAAGATGTTGTTGCGTGCTTAGCAGGTGTTTTGCCAGCTAAAGCTGCTTACGATCCGATTTTTAGATCTATATATTCCGGGCGCACCGCTGCCAACAGCAGCCACCGCAGCATCGAAGGGTCGGCTCCGGAGTGTGGGCCACAAAGGCCTGGAGAGGCACTGGAGCTATGGAATCACGATCAATCAGTGAACAACATCGCCCTCCCCAAAAAAAACAAAAAAATGTGTCTGGTCAATTCTGGTCGTGTTTCTGCTCTGGTCTTTGAAGCTGCATCTGATCCAAAACGTGCCAAAAAGCCAGTTGCAAATAGTCGCAAAGGAGCCCTAGAGTCCCTAGAGACAACTTCATTGCCATTGGCCAAAACATGTGGAGGAATGTTGCCACATCTGCGACATATGAACAACGCTCCGCGGGAGCAGTGCCAACCTCAATGCTGCTGGAGGACTGAAGCTGGCAGCATAGCAATTCATCGCCTGCGGTCTGGTGGACAGCGTCTCGGATAACGTGAGACCGATCTGGCATGATCTTGCCACAGGTGTTGAACTAGGCGAACCGAGGCGAACATGATGAACTACAACCAAAACCACACGTTTTATATGATTGTTTGCATCTGATTCATCAGCCCCCTTGTCAAATGTCACTCAAGCGCGGGGCACCAAAAGGCCCAACAAGCAAGCCAGGATATCCTGCCGGAAGGGTGCTCTCAGGCGATACACGTGACAAAAAGGCTGGGAAGCCGACCGCGCGACACACAAGGTACAGGACCTCAGCGGCTTGAACCACAAGCAAAGAACCGGAACCCATCGAAGAGTGCGCTGGGGCATGGGAACGATGCACATCACGGCTGCTGATTGATTGCCATGATAAGCGTCCAACATTTTCGGTATGTACAGGATGCACACCAAAAAGAGCTGAAGCTAGAGCCTTGGCTCACTTGGCTCGCTGGGCTTCGTCGCACGTGTTGCACGTTTTCGTCTCTTGGGCTGCTGCCGCCCAAGAGCCGGACATGCCCAGCGCTACAGTAGCCTTGGCAGAGCAAAGTTCTCGATCAATCCTAATAGAGCTAAAGACTTGGGCATGGACCGTCCGTCCTGCCAAGTAATTCAAGCATATGACAGCTCAAATCTGCTGACACCAACGAGCGCATCTGTCAAAACTGCCCACCATTCAAACACAAAGAACGCCGTTTCTTCATCTATTACTGTAGTATGCCGTCGGACTGAAAGATATGGAGACCCACAAATAGAATGCCGTGTTTTTTGGTGGTGTTGGAGTACAGTTAGAATGCCTAGGTTGCATGGATTTGCTTACAAGGATATGGCAGGTGGGATGCTTCACTCAGCCTGCTTGGCAGCAAGCGGTCCTAGAATCAAGGAGGTCAGGCAGTGCAACAGGATATTTGTAGCCTCATCGTCATGAGACAACATATACGGTATACAGCAACAACGTGAAACAACGCGGCAGCATCTGGCCGACTTCTGCACAAATCTTTTTTAGATCGCCGCATGGAAGCCCGATGAGTCCAGGCCATGAAGCAAATAATTCCAGCCTCGGTGGAAAAATGGTCCAAGGTCCATGTCATCAAGTCCATTCATCAAAGCCTTTGATTCTGCCAGGATCATTGCAAAACTGACGGCAAATCCTGGGCCAAGGGCGGAAGGTCAACGTGGTCAATGGGCGGAAGGATTTGTTGGTCCAACCTGACCTGAGGTCTGAGTGAAGCCAAGCTGGTAAGCCGGAAGCAAGCTGCTAAGCCGTTTAAATAATCGTGGAAGTGGATGGCATGGCCCCTCGGATGACCATGCTCCTCTACAAACATGGCTTTCCACTTCCATAATTATATATTTCAGGCAGTGTATGCAAAAGGTATCTCTGGAGTCTCTGAATCAAGCCCATGCATCGGAAGTCCCCAGAAGTCTCGTCGCATGAGATCTGCAAAGGATAGTGTTTCGCCAATCACCTGAATCCCAGAATATGGCGCTTCCCAGTCCACTGCACAGGCGTTCAAAACTACCGCAACAGCTTGGAGAAGAACGTTGGGATTCCTCATCATGCCGACCGCGTCGTCCATGATAAATCCACGGTACCTGGACACATGCTTTGGAATTCACCGACGAACCTTTGCAGCACTAAGTGTTGGACAGAAAGCCTTGAGCATAGGTTGCCAGAATCACGGCTTGGATGACCTCAAATATGCGCAGATCTGTCAATGAAGAGATTTTACTGTACTGATCATTTCATTGTGGCATGACGCCATTTGTTCACTGTGGCCACCGGCCAAAAGTGCCAGCCAGGGAAACCTGCCAGAAACAGTAGGATGGTGCCACAGTTAACTTACCATTTTAGAGATGACTTATCTGCTCCAGTTCAACCATGCTTCTGCTCATCAAATGTGGCAGCCCGACATCAGCTGTTCGCATGTTTCGGACCTTTTTAGTCCACGAGCTGCCGGATCAAGCCTTCCCTTCAAACAGTGAACCCCGAAACCCATTGGCTGATCACTGACGGGACTACAGTGGAAGCTTGGAACCAGCGTTGCAGCATCGCTTCCTGAAAATGGCAGTGCGCCCTCTCCCATTGATGTTCCAAACAATTCCACAATGAAGTGTTGCATGGGCACGCATGTACCTTCGATTGCATTGACCAATGCAGCATTCTACTTCCAACTTCCAACGACTCTCTTTTCCAGCCTCATGGCGTTGGCGTGCAAATGTCCAGAAAGTCCTCGTCCCTGCCTTCAAGTGCAGGCGCTGCTTAACCAAATTCAGAATGTTTTATGCACTAAAACTGAGTAAACCGAGGAACGTTCCGCATTTAGAACATCAACAAACTCTTGGACATTCGAGGCTGGTGTCCCAGTCCCTGACCCACAACCGCCCAAACACACCTCGCTTAAAGAATACTTCTAAGAAAAACCGTAAAAGAAATTGTTTTCATCACGCAACGGTTTTTATCCTAACCTTCGCTGGCCTTTGAGTCCATGCTAGTCCATGTGAAACTGGTTCTACAGTTCTATATGAATGCACATGTGTTAATCCAGCTATCTACGTTATTGGCCACGCGCTTAGAACTAAACAAATTGCTGTAAGAATGTCGGCAAAAAATGTTCGACTCGAAATGGACGTCCGCCACCTGAAACAATGATTCAATGTTAAGCTTTGGTGGCGCCCGCGCCAAATACCTTGCTTACCGCCCTTGCCCTCCCCATTTCATACCGGAAGCCAAGTAACAGGGCTCCACAGGCATTGCCATGACCAAGGGCGGCGTGTCAGCAATGGTCTCCACAGGATCTTCATAGGCAAAAGCCGCACCAGCCTGAACCTATGCCGGTGCACTAGTTGTCTTCCTATTACAACTTGCAAGAACGAATGTCTATATAGTTGGACCTAGACCTTGCAGATCCCATGAAAACAAATTACTGAAAAACACCTCAAAGCCCTTTCATCTTGCCCTCTTCGTGTCCCTGCATTAACTCAAGGCATCTCAAGGCACATTATCTGGCAATGGAATTGCAGGTGTGGTAGTCGGAGGCATTGACACAGGCATGGCCGGAGGTATTGCAGGCAACGACTTTGCTGGCTGCAGTGCTTGGCGTGTTGCCAACTGATCCAGCAAGGACTTCGGCAGCGTTCCCTGTTCAACAATGGTGCGCACCTTGGCAGATCGTAGATAGTGCAGTAATTAGCATGCAGCTAGCTGGCAGCCTAGCAACTTTCTGAGGCCATCTGCCAAGGCACATGCACTTTGCTCCACTGATTTCCTGAAAACTCCGCCCACAAACCTGGACTTCGGAAATATGCCCAGCCAAGGTCGCGCCCCTTCCGGACCTGACCGAGGTGGGTTCGTCAACTGGAGAGGAAAAACACACCACACTCAACGAGGGTCTACACTGAGCCAGCAGCATGCTCTCAAGGACACCCCCATCCTCCCTTTCTGTCCCTCAATCGAAAACACCCGCCTCTCCGAGCAAATCGCTTCCACGCTGCCAGCGTTGGCAAATGGCCCAGCGCTGGGAGTTGCTCTGCCAGTACATGAAGACCGTGTGGGGCTCATCCCAGAAGCTTCGGCGACCATTGATCACTTGGGCCTTACAGAGGTCTGTGCCACAGGACAAGGCAGTTATATTGCCAACGAATTCCCGCTGCGCAACATCTGACTATCTTTTCCACTGTGCCGGGGCTGGCCTTTCATAGCCAAACACGGCCAAACATGGCTGACATGGCCCAATGGCCAACTTTCAGGTTCCGACGATCTTACGACGTCAATGAAGCCGATGCGCCTGGTCCACAAAGTATGTGCGGTTCAAAATTCTCCGCCGGAAGCCTGAAAATTCATAGGAGGTCGTCTCCAGGCTGTCCACTCCATCCCATTCTCCTCGCAAATGCAATCAGATCCACAGTACTAGCACTGGGCGTTTCGCTCCCTACATATCGAACATCAAAAACAAAACTATCCCGAGCCTTTTGCAAACCTGGGGTTGGCCGAATAAATAGCACAGGTATGTACCTACGCAACCTAAAAACTCACAGACCGGTTTTCCGACAACCTATTTCAAGTTTCGAGAAGCCACAGTAGCGCTCCTGATGAATCCTTCTACATTTATACATGCGTATAGAAAACCCATTGGGCAACGAACTGCTTGGGGGCTGGGCCAACCAAGTCCGCCTCTATCTAACTATCACCTGTTACACTGTGATACTGTGACTCTAACTATCACCTTCCAACAACTGCCTTGGCAACATCTTATTGATTCTTAACCCACATATCTCATCTGGGCATAGAACCAAATATCTCATGATGAAGTCCTTCAGCATCATCAATCTCATCAGTGGTGCTGTGTGGACATCTCAGAATGAACGCTCGTTGGCATTGGTCGATGCAGGCTTTGCAAGCACGGAGTGTGGCAAGCTCGCCACCAAAGCAGGAGATAAACAATTTGAACAGTTTGGAGGGACATATGCCCAACACCGGAAAAACTCTTTTGAGTGCAACGCTGTTCCTGTTCTCGGAACCAGGCCAAATATATAGATCAAAATAGCAGTGAAATTATTGTTCTCAAACCTCTCTCGTCTCAACCCCGTCGGCCTGATGTCACACGGCTGTGGATTCGTGGGTTCGCGAGTCTGGGGCAGGATGCACTCCGGGCAACAGGCACAAAAAGACACCAGTTCAAGGGAGTTCAGAGCAAATTCCAACAAACCAGGTGTTTGTTGTCAACTTAGGAAAAGCGCAATTAATCCCTGTTTGCTTACTTGTACTCATACTCTTACTTGTCTACAACATGTAGTTGAACATGGTTTAACATTGTTGAAGCGTGCACTTTTGAACACCCACATGGAAACTGTTCATCGGGTGCATTGGACATGATCCGCACACTCAGGGAGACAGCGGGCAATCTTTAGTTTTATGGTTCTATTTTTGTGTTATACTTTTGTGGTAGATCGGTTGGTAATTAAGTCTGACATTGTTGCTGTGGCTGTCGTCGCTGCGAGGTGTGGCCTACGGCTTACAAGTTTGCTCCCGGCCTTTCTGCAACACGGCAACCGGGGAACCAAATAAGCCAAGGCCAGGAAGCGGGCTCCAAAGTGAGCACTGAGACGAGCAGCAGACTGGAATCACATGGGACGGGCAACATGGGCATGGGAACTCCAAATCTTAAGTCGAGGTGACAATTGGCCTTGAGTAGTGCAACATGCTGAAACAATTTCTTTGAAATCGGTTGTGTTTTCTGTCAGGTCAAGAGCCCAAGTCCAGGTATCCTGCCAGGACCTCCGGCTTGTCTGACGACATTCCCTGTCCTCTGGCTACTGCGGCTGAGGCAGGCGTCATCGTGAAAATGGGCGCACTGGACGGCTTTCCGTCGTCAACCTTGTCAGACTCCTTGATCTTCTTGGCAGGTGGACCCTCTTGCGGGGATGCCTACAAGCAACCATAACCAAGAGCACAAATAAATCAAAGCGCAAATGTAATGCCTCTACGCAGAAAAGAACAAAACCAACTGGCAACCGTTATGAGTCATTTTACGTGGTCAAACCTCTGTACCTTGTCACATGGATGCGACCACAATTGCATACAAGATCATACAAGCATGTTACAATGGATGTGCGCGATGGATCCTGAACAAAAAAAATAATCAAAATTCAAAAAGGCAACTTCTTCAAAGCTCGGTCGTTGGCTTCACATCTTGCCCACCAAGTGGCTGTTGAAAACTCGGTCGTTGGCCCCGGTGTGAAGGCTTGGAGCCCCAAACGTGCCAGTGTCACGGTGTTTTGTGTGGCAACACCTCATGGCATCAACGACGGGGCTGGAGACTTGACCACAGTCACATGGATTCACATGGAGGAGGTTCCAGTCTACATACACAAAACTTACACAAGTCTGAAGAAGCTTGCAGCATTCAGCCCCTCGGCCTGAAGTGCCGCCCAGTTGCGTAGCAAATCATCAAGAACATCTGGCACCGGGGCATTTCCAAATGCCTTCTTGTATTCCTCCTTGGAGCTCTGGCTGTTCACCAGCGATGACCAGACCAGCCTGTGAGAAGAGATTGCGGCCTTGTTTTGAGTCAATTCAAGAGGGGTGTTGAAGGGTGACAAGTGACAAGTGAAGAAAGACCACACGCCAGGTCCTGGTGTGTCCTGTCCGATCTGTTCAGCATCGAAGTTCCGGCTGTCGCGGCCATCGTGCCCCCCGCCTCTGCTTGATCTGCTTGGATCGCGTCACCACCACTCGATTCAAGCGCAGCTGTCGATACCTCTCGCGGTCTTCGAAGGTGGCAAGCTCATGCAGCTTCTTCTGATTGTGCTCCTGGACGTCGCCACAGCCACGGCCCCAAATCAAGCCCACCATACAAATAGAACCAAACCACGTCTTTGTCTCTGAGATGAACATACACGAACATGTTGTTTGAGTTTGATGGTGTGCATGCCTCTGATGCTTATGCCCACTGTATATCATTGCCTCCATTTAGCCACAGTGCAACACCGGGCCTTTTCCGTCTCTTCATCTGCGCCACGCGCGCGGATGACCCGGGCCAGCTCTGCTGACATAAGGTCAGTGAAGGCCTTCTTGCCTGGTGAAAAACTAAGGATCCGATACCATCTTTATAGATCAATGAAGGGGATGTGGCGAGATAGACAGGGTCCTCTATTTGACAAATGTTCGCTGATGTTTCTGAGTGCCAAAGAATTTTCAAGAGACTCCGGGTTGATGAGATCTGCCGCAGCCCATAAAACTGACATGATTGGCGTGTTCTGCCAGGGCGCCGTCTGCATCATCTAGATGCCAGAGAGGTACAACCCAC